AATAAAAAATTATTGTCAAAATAAATTAAAAAAATTTACTTATTTTAAGGTGATTTATGCCTTTATGAAAAGTAAATCAATCAGTGCAACAGATATATATAACATATTGTCCCTATAATACTATAGTTTTATAATAATACTGTATGAAACTGCACTATTTATAAAGTTACTTAACTTAAAGTATCTTTGTTTGTCCAAAAATATTTAAAAAATAAAATAAGGTAAAAAAAATAAGAAAATGTGGAGAAACTTCTACTTTTTTTAGCAAAATGAGATGCCAAATTTATAAGATTGATTATCATATAACTTTTATTTGTAGGTTAATAATAGGAATAAATTGACTAGTTATTATGAAATAATGTGTTTTTAAATAAGATAATTAACTTATAACGATTAATTTGATCAAATTCTTAATAAGACAATAAATTTAATTTATAAACTTTTTTTTTATTAAAATATTTAAGTTCATCACTTGATGCATGATCGACTCTAAGATTTGTGTGTTATATCGTTGATTTGTTGAGAAAATCCATTCAACTCTCTCTCAAAGTTGAGAGCTAAGGCCAAACTTTCTTCCTCCTTGCTCAGCTGGTAAGTATAATTGGTTTGGTTAATTATTTTCCGTTTCAGTTATACTATTTGGAATATGTTATAAGAGTACATTAATTATGTTGATTCTCCAGTAGTCTCGCTCCAATCTACTAGATAGTATAAAATTTTCAGTTTGCCTAAATTATGATCATTAATTAATTTTTTATATATTTAGAGAAAATGTTCTGTTTCTTATGCAGTCTACACATCCTCCTGTATTGCTTCTCATATTAGTAATGTATTATCAACAAATTATAGGTGAGAAATTGATAATTTCCCATTCCCCACCAGTACTTCTTTAAAAAGCCTTCAAAACATTTGCAGATGATATAACTATATTCAGACCCTTTGCTACTATAATGGATCTTCTTGCTGTCTCAATCTCAATCCACAATATATATCGTTAATTAGAAAACTCCCTGCAAGGAACTACCAGTATTAATGATAAATCCTTAGAATGTGACATGCTATATAGTTTTTATTCAAGTTTTTTTTACTTAGTGCTTCACTACTCACTGTTACATGAATTTTTGCTACTATTGTTGAAGAGAATAAGGAAAGGAAATGGAATTTCCACGTGTTATTTGATAAATTGAAAAATTAAACTAATTAAAAACTCCAATACACCAAACATGAAGTACAGCACATACCATGTCCCACCACAAAACGGACAAAAAAACAAAGCAAAAGCAAATTATAAAAGACGGGTGGTCCATGACCACCCGCATATGGATGAATAAACTAATGGAAACAATTCGAGTAGTTCATGAATGCACGTGAAGGAGGGATTAGCGAGATTACGACGCAAGTGTTGTGGATTCCAAATGGAATCAATTATTGTTACATATATATATATATGATTTTTTTAATAATATATATTTATTATTTATATTATATAATATTATATAGATTACTTTTTAGGGATGTATGTAGGCACTGTTTTTAATATATGAAATACGAAACACTGTCAACACATCGAAGAAAGAGAAAAAAAAATGCAAGATAAAGATAAGAAAGGAGTTGTTGAGAGTGGTTTTATCAAAAGTATTTTCAAATTCAACTTTGAAGTTGAAATAGAAAAACTGTCTCAAATCGTGAAATGTTTCTTTACCATAAACATCAAATATAGAAAAGCAATAGAACCTGCCCTCCGGGTGATCTTGCTCTAGTCACATTTGTAAGGTTCATATCCTTCCCCAGGACAAGGTTTGAGCTGGTTCCATAACAAAATGCTCAAAAAAAAAAAAAATAAATAAATAAAAAAGCAATAAATCTTTGAATAGTTGCATTCAGGTTTGCAGATAAATAAAACAGTTTTATGAACAGTTTAATTTCTTTTTTGAACTTTTAATTTCTTTATTTTTTTCCTTGAATTTTAACACTTTATTTTTAAGTTTTAACGTAGTGATCAAAGTTGATTCGGTAAGTAAGTATTGTATCTTGCGATAAAAACTATTAACTTTAAAGAAAAATTTTAAAATTACCTCGATAACAATAATTACTTCTATAGCTGTTTACATGTAATAATTAAAAATAATAATTTTTTCAAATTAAGTATAAAATTATCAAACCGCATATCAATGTGGAGAAATTAGAATGCTTTTCTCACATAAGACAGCTACATTTTTTATATATAAAAAATATAAAGTTTGAAATTATTTATATATT